TGCTACTATCTTCAGGAAAAACAATAAAATTCATGACTGGCACATATACATTCTTAGGACCTTGCAACACTGATAACATAAGAAAAATTGGGATTAATTGTTACTTTGCAGTGTAACCATGGAAACAATGTACCAGTTGTTTAAAGTGATATTTTTTTTGCTGCCTTAGGAATTTACTTACTTTTTATTCAAGAAACATATTATTTGACTCACCTTGAATAGTACTTATCTGGAAGAACTAAAGTTGAATATCATATATTGATAACGTTTGTTGAAAAATACAAGACGGTTGCTATGGTAACCAAGAAGGGAAAATGTTCGATTTTGTTAATTTTATATCAATATTAAACCCTATGTGCCAGCTTTTTGCATCCAGTTAGAGATTGGGTGGCAGTCAAAATTGAAAGTCAGGTTAGTTGTTCATAATTACCAATCATAAAAGTTTTGGGAATCTACATACAAGGGTACGTATCCAAGGAAACAGAATATTTTTCAGATTTTTATGCATATTTTTTCGGCTTATTTCCATAGCAACGCTCTATTTAAAGAATTGAATTTGAATTTTTTGAAATGTGAGAATTAGGGTCACATGAACATCTTTAAAAATTGATCATTAGTTATATAGAAATATGGTTTTTAAAAAGATAGGATTAGATTTAATCGCTAAGAGAGTAAATTTAAAATCCCTTCTTGGTATTAAAACCATGGCAACCATTACCAACCTATAAGAAATATCATATTTCTTCCTTGGTATATGTTACAAGGATCTTTTGTCTATTATTTGCTTGCATTTCAACCTATAATTTTTTTTTATTCTTAAGTGTATGATGTTATAAAATTAAATGATCAAAATTATTACTTTTGAATACTTTGTTTCCATAGTAACGTATGTAATAGTTGATTTACCAAACATGTTTATCATGCCTTCAACTTTCAGAAACGGTCATTACCACTTGTTTGCTTTGCTGCAAACGTTAACTGTGGGACTCTGGACATGTTGAAAAATGCCATTTTTCAAACTTTAGGACATGTTGCCATGGTAACCATGTCACATAGCAACCATTTTCTGCCTGATTTGAGTTTACGGTATCAAAGACTTTTATCATAGAGTTTGGAGAAATTCTGAGACTATGCATGCCACAGCTTCTATATAAAAGTTTAAGTCGTTACAGAGAATGGCTCTTAAATAATGTTTTGTTCCGTGTTTGTGACGTCACAATGTGAAAATGACAACAGTATATAGGTCACGTGTGACAAAAACTAGTTGACTCAGTTGTACTAGAGCAACGAACGGCTGTAAAGTGTAACTTATATCTCGGAAATTCCTTTGCAGTAGAGTATGATAATTTGTACAAGGTTTATGAAGACAAAAGACTTACCAGAAGTTCAATCATTAATTAGATTGAATGTTTTAGTGAAGGCAGGGAGATGGTTATAAATGATGTTTGTTCTGTTGCCCAGCGAGAGCAAGCCGGTAAAAAGATATGTCCTTAGTTGAGCAATTTGTTTTAAAAGATCGCCAAATTACAGTAAGAAAAATAGTTGAATATCTGAGCAATAATATAATTATTAAATCCCTAAAATATCGTTTACTTTAGACTTTAAACATATGAGATATGAAAAAATGAAGGCGCCCATACTTTTTCCACATTGGATAAACGACGCTCCCGAGACAGAGGACTCGGGTTGTGATGGTCGCCATGCTAATTCTGGGAAGGGATATCCTTATCCACTCATCCTATTGCCGAGACTTTGCCATTTCCGACAGATGGTCTGTTCTTGTTATAAAAAATTACTTGCATGATAAGAAATAGAAGACTCGGAAAAATCTCTTAGCTTCTGTGAACAGACCGCTACGAAGCATGTCACGTGACCGCCTGGATCAAGTGATTCGCGCATGGGCAGAACAATGGCAGATGTGCATTAAAATCGGAGAGGACTTCTTAAAAAAATATTGAACACTTAAACCTCATTTTATTTCTTTTAAGGAAGTAATTCAATTAGTTTGCGAACTTTTTGATCACCCCTTGTACATATTCTAGTATAATGTATATTAGATAAAACTAAGAGTTTAATTACAATCACGGTAGGTATTTTCCCCTTTAAGATAAGTGCAATTCATAATACAGGTATGGTAGGAACAATTTAAATTTCCTATCTTTGCATGACAATGACATATTACAATCCGTAATAAAAATTATCGACCTTGCACTAGCACACGTGCTCTTTTGATAGTGTCTACTAGTACATGACACAATTCCTTCTATATTCAGTGCATTATTTTTGAAGATGACAGAGCTTTGATTAAATTTACTACAAGAATTTATTTACATTATTTTTAAAATGTGTCATCTTTACTGTGCTGAAATAAATTATATTGAAATACTTTGTCTATAGTTAAAGGTACATTGTATGCTCCTCAAATGTTATTGATGCTGATTATATCCAAATGTAATGCTGGCAATGCTTGGTCGTAAATTTGATTATATCCAAATGTAATACTGGAATGCGTTGTAATTCTGATTATATGCTAATGTTGTGCTAGCAATGCTTGGTTGTAATTCTGATTATCTGCTAATGTAATGCTAGCAATGCTTGGTCGTAATTCTGATTATATGCTAATGTAATGCTACATGTAGCAATGCTTGGTCGTAATGCTACATGTAATTATATGCTGATGTAAATTAAAGCTAGTTATACTTCGTCATATCGCTGAATTTATGCAAAAGCATGCTAGTTACGCTGATTAATGCTAATATATTGTCATTTATTCTACTTATATTCTAATGCAATGCTTTTTATAATTATACTACTACTACAATACTGATTATATGTTGATACAATGCTAGTTATGTTTCGTCTATGCTGATCCTATATGCTTATATATTATTATATATGAGGTAATATTATTATTATGAATAATTATATATTATTATGCCATTTATCTTTAATATTTATTAATGTTATGCTACAAATGTAGTTATGTTTGATAGTAATACTGATTAATATGCTTATATAATGCAAGTTATGCTTCGTCGTAATTTTCTTTCTTAATAATAATTAACTTTTAGAAAATCCTACAATATTTTGAAGATATGTCCATTTGACCCTATAGGTAAAACTAAAAATCCTTATCTATTCTTTAGACCCAGTATATAAGGCAACAGATGTGTGTGGGTAAGGTTTGTCCTCGTTTTATCGTACATCTCAGAAGAAGAGGACAAAGGTAAATCTCTCATTTGAATTCTTTTATATGCAACAATAAGTAGAATTTATAATTCATTCAGGTTATGAAAATATTAGATTTCCTTTATCCTGTTTTAAATGGAGATCCTCGAATTAAAAAAAAAAATATTGGAATTAAAATAAACGTAGTTAAAATGTTGACCGACGTAAGTGACTGTTAAATTATAATAAGTGACGTATGGATAGATTTAATTGTAAGGAGGCTTGGGTGGTCCGTAAAAATCTTCTCCTAAATTCATCAAATGGGGGGTCCGTAAAAAAATATTCTCCAAAATTCATCAAATTAGCAAATATTCTTGAAATAATCATCGGTGGCATTTTAGTGTTAAATATCACATCAGAATATCCTTTATTTTTATTTTTATTATTGCATCTTAATTTATTGCACATCATGTCAACATGAAAACATAAAAATAACAGCATGACATACAAATGTAAAGCAGATAGAAAAAGAAAGAAGAAAACATAATCATAAATAATATTAGATTAAATAAAGACGACAAAGAACTAAATAGCAATAGAAATGTTAAACAAATATCACATTCTAAAGAAAATCTATACTTTACATAAACACAATAGTTCTAATTAAAAAAAGCAACTGCTAAATAGTGTTCAACTTACAACATTATTAGTAACAATATATGTTTAATATAGAATTTAATCAAGTATAGAGAAGAAACATTTGCTGAGGAATTTTGAGAAATGGTAATTACTACTCACCTTCCTTGAAGACGCCAATAAAAATGTTTTTGAAAGCTGAACTAATTCATGTAACACTTTATTACCGTAGATTAATGATGTTTCGAAATCCTGTTACTACATAACAACACGTAAGGTTATTTCAGCGACTGCAAAGCGATTGAATCTTAAGACTGATAATTTATTACTAGGGTTAATTATCAATTTTTAGCGATTTTGGGAATTATTGGGATTATTTTGTCTGAGAATACTTGTGATCTAATTACAAGTATTAACGACATGTATTATAAGCGTTGTCTAATCTATTGCTAATAATACCAAAATAACTAGATGGTCCCTAAAATTTTCAGTTATTCAATATCTAATATGGATATTGCGTATTCCAAAACCTTGCCCGTTATGATGAAGTCTTATCTCTCTCAGCAAATTTTCAATAAAGTTTCTAATCTGGAAAATTTCTTTTGAACTGGGACAGAGGTGTTTGGATTAGACAGGTTTTACCATCACCTTTTAAGGGACAGGGCAGTTACAAAAATGTACGTATGTAACGTTATTTTTAATTTCGATGTAAAGGATAATAATCCAAAGAACAAGATAAGAAATGACTCTTTTTGGTGGCCCCTGGTTTGTGATGTCTCTGTTTTAGATAGGTGCAACAATTTATAATCAAACGCCTGTTGTCAGTCCTGTTACAAAATGATTTTTGGTTCCGATAGGAATTTTGAGATGTACATCTATTTATTTAATGAAAAGAAATGACATTTATCTAGTTCCGTGAGGGATAAGCCTATGCTCCCATGATAAAATATAAATCATACAGTTAATTCAAGTTTGTCATCGTAGTTTCTAAACGATAGTGTTTTGTTTCCATTTAGAATATTAACAAATTATTAAGACACCAATATCAGTGATGTGGGATAGCATATGCCCCACTAACATTAAACGTTAATAGCATCTCATTGTTAAATTCTTTTTCCATTCATAACCTAAAATGATATTTGTATATGTCAAAGATACAGTTTTTTTTTCAAGTTTATGTTGTTATTCAGGTTACCATGAACCTCCATTTGATTGGTTGCTTTGCCGTCATCGCGTGGACAGCGACAAATGTTCTAGCCGTCAACACCGCACAGGTCAAGGGTGGCCTTACTCTTGCCAAGTCTCTGACAGATTACATAGAAACCCAAGACTTTAGTAAAACTGTTACAAAAATTGCATCATTTGCCTCTACCTATCTTGGTATCCTTGGTCCCGCTTTGGGATTTGTTCTAAGTTTTTTTAGTTCCGGACCGTCAGCTGAACTTTTGGCCATACAGAAACTGTACAAAGAAGTCACCCTGCGATTTGACCATGTAGATCACCAGTTTGCTGATCTCAAGCGCCAGATCAGCTGGTCAAGCGTGGAAGTACAATATGGGCAATATGAAAGCAAAATTCACGCTGTTGGACAAAAATACAAAGATCTCGTTGCATCGTCTTCTAGAACAGATTTTGAAGCAAGAAAATCGCTTTTCCTTGACAACTATCGACAAGACTTTTCAAACTCCGCAGAAAAGCTTTACAATGGAGTTGTTAATGAGCATCAAACATTTAGAACAGCCCTATTTGAATCAGCAATCAATAATTTTGAGTGGGATCGAAAGAAGACTCAAAATTTTATGCTTGGTGTGACAAAACTACTTGTGTTTGGTGCAACACTCGAAATGGCATACTACCACCTGAAATTTCCATCACAAGAAAGCTATTATCGACAGCAATGGCAGGTCAAATTTGAACATTTTAAAAATAAGTTATCTGACATCGACCACAAATTACAGACACAGTTCGGGAGCCAATTAGCGACTGATGTTGATAAGTATGTTGTTAACCACGCCCACTCAAGTAATTCCGATATCACAAACCACCTTTATGACGTCATTGCTAGAAAATACTACTTTTTGAACTGGATGGTTGCTGTTTCAGATCACTCTTCAGATCCTGATCAGTACGCTGTGCACACATGCGGTGGCACCCATGGGCTTCAAAACAATAATCACGGTAAAAATGTTGTTGTGGCGAGTGTTCCAAAGAATAAGGCTCACCTTACTACGTCGCAACAGCATATCACCCACATAGCCACGTACGAGACAAGGCATAGGCATGGCGGGAGACGGGCAACTGGTGTTTATACAGTACATATCCCAGCAAATGAAGCTTATAACCATTTTCCAAGTACAGCACGCGGCAACTGTAACACATACGGATCCGTGGGTATAATCTCCCGTAAACTGAACCCTGGCTTTAGATCTCCTTCTGCTCATCTATACATCCGTGATGACGGTCATTACTTTAAAGTTTATGCTTTTGGATAAAATTTGAAGCATTTTTTTTCCATTTTGAAATAGAAAAAGAGTATGGATTTTTAATAAAATAAAAATAATGAAAGTCAAGAATTGCTGTTTTAGCAAATTACACGTACACTAATGGAATACAACTGGAATATATAGAATCGATTTTATTTTATTTTATTTATTTATTTCTTTTTGGAGGGGGAAGCATACTAGTAATAAGGAGTTGGTAACTTTTCAGAAATATATATATATATATATATATATACTTTCAAAACTTTCAAAAGTAATTAATTAAATTACAATTACTTTGACATTTTCTTCAATTAAATTACAATTAAATTACAGGCTTTCTAAGACATGTAATTAATTAAATTACAATTACTTTGCAAAAGTAATTAATTAAATTACAAATTACATTTTTAAGTTTTCTGAAAATTTTTATAATCCTTTTCAATGAATATACAGAACATCATTTATTTGTATATAAGCCAGCCTCTGCACAAACAGTACAAGAAATAATATGCTATAGGCATTGTATATCATTGTGGTTAAATTTATAACATTTATATACAAAACATTAAAGAATCTCTTAAAGTACTATCCGAGATCAGTTTAATGCAGTTTCCACCATACAAAACCTACATGTACACAAATTGCATGGCTTATGATATTTGATTAAAAGTGGGCATTTCAATAGAGTAAAATGAGTGGCAACTGTAACCCCTCAAACTAAATATTTCCTTTGAAGGTAACCTGAACATCCTAAATTGCTATTTATGTTGAACAATTTTACTTCATAAATAATGCTTGAACAGATAGAAAATTCATTCATAAAAATCTGTTTACTAGATGTTAAAATAATTATCAAATTGAAAGTTTTTTTCCTCTTCTAAAGCTAGCGGAGCATTTTAAATTGAAATAATTATCTCTATATATGGCTTTGTCTTCTAAATCATGGAATGAATATCTCTTTAGAGGAGTTGATTTGTTTTGATTGCAATTTACAGCTGTGATCTGGAGGGCAATTATCTCTTCCAAACAAGCTTAAGAGGGAACTTAATTAATGACACACACCTTCTTTTTCTTTATTATTGATCAAACAACAAAGATTGAAATATAATTAATGTGTGTTTCATAGCTAAATAGACCTAACAAGGGTGGTTCAAAATTCAGATTTATAAACATAAATCAAAAAATTCCAAATTTACATAATGATTTGAAAGAAACTAGATTATTATTTATCAAGCCAATCATTTAATTATTTGTCTGTAAACATTAACAGTATAACTTAAGATTTTGCTTAATTGATGGATTTCTTCATTTCCTGAGACTTCTTCAAGTCATGTAGAAATCCACATTTCTTCATCAAATCCAGTGAATGTTGTTGGATTTATACTTATTCCTGGTTGTTCATACATGTGCAAGCAGTTTTTCTCCTCTCCCTAGTACTTCTTCTTGGTATCTGTCTAGCTTCCTCTGACCTCAGGCTTTCATCTACATCCAGGGTCACATGATCTACCTCTGAATCTTGTTGCTGATGCTGCCCATTTGGAACATCTCCTGCTGCTGTTGCTCTCTAGGAATTTCTTCTTCAGCATTTTGCTGCTGATGCTGTCTTTCCTGTGGAATCTCTGAATTGGGTTCCTGTATTTTCCCCTTAATCTCAACATTATCTGCATCACGATGTTCTTCTTTATCCATGTGTTTCCGTATATTATCTCAATATAAATTTACATATACTACTTCCATTCCTTCATCTGACCTGTTTACCAAAAGTAAAAATTTGCATACATGTAAAATTCACACAGGTAAATAAATCTGTGCACATGAATGGTGCTTTAGACGCAAAGTCTATCCTGAAAGTTGGAAACTAGCACATATCCTTCCTCTATTTAAGATTCATAAACCTTCTGCTCACTCAAATACAATGTTTCTTTAACTCTTATGATTTTCCAAAAGAAATGTATTTGTTATGTAAAATATAAAGAATTATAGCATAGCTTGCGGTGCAAAATTAGACAAAAAAGACATTTCAACTTGACAAATTTACATGTATTAGGGAATAATAAAACATTTATGTCATAAAGTGTTATCTCTCTTATCAGATTATTAATGAGCCGACCCATCAGTTACTCCAAATTAAAGACTTATGTCTCTTTTGAGTTATTAGATTAGTAAAGAATTATTTGTATTAAAAAATTAAATGATATGTTCTATAAATATCAAGTAGGTTTACTGCCTGGTCACTCAACTGTTTACCATCTTTTAGAAACTTATACTACTATTGTAAAATATATCGATGAAGGGCAACGTTGTTTTTTTTTTATCGATGAAGGGCAACGTTGTTTTTTTGCGATTTATCAAAAGCTTTTGATGGAGTATGGCATAGATAATTGCTTTATGAATTTAAAAATTGCTTTATAAATTTAAAAATATATGGTATATCCGGTAATATGCTAGAATAGTTGGAAAGTTACTCATAAACAATAGAAAACAAAAAATCATATATAAAAATCTATTTTCTTTCGTGAAAAATATGCCTGCTTGAGTACCAGAGGACTTTGTCCTTGGCCCTCTTTAATTTGTAAGTTATTTGAACGATATTGCCGAAAACATATCTGTCTGCAGGCTAGCTATTTGCGGACAATAACTTTTTCAGATTGAATAATTATGTTACACAACATAAACATCTTGGTGTTATTTTTTATCTAATAGGTTAGTTTGACTAAACTCAGTCTGATATTATGCATTTCTTTAAGGTGTTCTTTTCGCAGTACGTGATATTCTGATATTTTTCGTTCTATTCCACAGGTACTTGTGGACAGGACCCCCCCCCCCCCCCACCCCACTCCGAATATTCCATGTCTTTTTTTCATAAACTATTCTTCTAGTGCACATTTACAAGGTATTCCATAGGAAAAATCTAAAAAATAACACAGAATTAACGTTTTACTAAAAAATCATACCAGCGGTAACTCTATTTTATAGTACCTCGGGTATGATTTTTTAGTAAAACGATTTTTCATATGGAATACATTGTAAATGTGTACTAGAAGAAAAGTTTATGAAAAAAAAAACATAAAAATATATTGGGGGGGGGGGGGTCCTGTCCACAAGTACCTGTGGTTCTATTCTATTATTTTCCTTCAGTGGTCGTCTTTCTGGCAGCTGATTTGTTGAAAACAATTTTTAAAAAAATGAACAAACACATACATGTACTTTTTTGCAAACTATATATACGAGGAGTTATATTATCTAAAAGTTCGTGGACTAGCACCATAAAATTAAAACCGCTTTAGGTATATCAATGAAGTTAGCATCATCTTCGTTTTCTACATTGTATCTATAGAATAAACCATAAATCAAAAGTTATTTTTTAATAAATTGTTAATGTTTAATATGTAAGCAATCTTTTGGTATGTCCAGGCGTCGCAACCTCGAATATAACGAATTTCTACCTAAGTGTAATTTTACTGCAGAACTGTAGCGCTATGGGTTTTTTTTTTTTTTTTATTTTAGTCTTTGACCATAACGCTACAGATTTCGTAATGCAAATATTGTGCAATTTACGGCGTAAGATTTTCTGGGCACTTTGGGGATGTATTTCGCCACTTTCCAGCATTGGTCAATCAACTTCCTCTACTTGTTTTTAAATGTCAAAAAGGATTCAGAGAGATATGCACTGTGAGTTTATGTCGATTTGTAGCCAGGGTGTCAAAAGTCAGTCACGTCGAAAATGGCGTTGATCATGTAGATATTGAACTCCGACAAGTCAAATATGCTGGCATAATGGAGTGAGAATCTTTCCCTATGTAAAGATCCATTTACAATATTATATGTATTGAAAGCAACTGTTCATGACATTGTAAAGTCATATAAACAAGACGGTTTTCAGTCTTTACTTAACGCCAGGGAAACTCATCAAGATAAGTGTATGAGGTAGAGGGAGCGGACGTAAAGAAACAATGACGTTCAGTGGAACTAAACGGCGAAAGCGCAGGGTGATCATATACAATGTGTAATGTCTTTTTTATTTTATAATAATTTGGCAATTTTTCAACATATCAAGCTAGAATTTTTAACATTTCTTTAACTTTTGTTCTTTTGTTGTTTTATGTTCCTTGTAAATTTTGTAAGCACAGACTACATAGAATTAATTTTACCGCCTCAGTCCACGAACTGTTTGTGCTGGCACGAAAAAGATCCCTCACTGCTCAATGGCCGTAAGTGCCGAGTATAGGACAAAATTTGCAGCTCTCCACTGGCAAGTGGTGGAGTCTCCATATGAGTGAAAAATTCTCGAGAGGGACGTTAAACAACATACAAATAAACAAAAATAACAAGGTTAAAATTTTCTCTGGGAAATGAACTTTTTAACCTTGAAAGCTATTACTTAATATTATTAACATTTGAGACGAATATTCAAATAGAAATACTACACAAACAGCCCACCGTATCACTATGCAGCAACCAATATAGGGAAAAGACCACTAATTATTTTCCCATAGAACTCTATACAAACCTTTTGCCCTCTCAGTACTCTACTAATTCAATTTCAGACAAATCCTTGGCACCATTTGAAACTTTATTCTAAGCGCTTATAAAAAAGCCCGAAAAAAATATAGGGTCCCATGGCGTTTATAGGTCAAAATTGCAGTTGTTTACAACTTATAGCGATCGGCAGTAAATGTCACTCTGCCAAAAATATCAACCCCCACTCCTACAATCTCCCCTGGTATTTCTATATTTTCTGTAATATTCCTACATTCCATCATTTATTTCAAACATTAATATTTTTACTTTAAAATGAAAATAATTACATACCCGAATTCAGCCAATCAGGTAACACACACTATTCAGTACTCTATACTACTTTCCATAACAAACAAAACCACGTGTACATCCGGGGATTTGGTGCTCTCATTCCTATACTTACATATTTACCTATCCCAGAATTAGTCAATTTTGTAATTTTCAAAGACCTTATACCTACCAATGTATATGTATGAAATTTGAGGCCTGTCACTTCAGTGTCCTGAAAACTGTGACCATCTAAATTAATGACACCTCCCTGCTGCAAGTAGTGTTCTAGGGAATGAATA